ATACAGAAGCTCTGCATGAGAGCTCTGTAACGTGTTAGAAACTCCGCATGAGTTTTGTATCAGGTCGTGAGAGCTCTTTGACGAGCTCTGTGCCAGACTATGTCAAACAGAGGCTCTGGTTGCGAGAACCAGAAGCTCTGGAAGGCTCTGGAAGAAAGGCAACCAGAGGGGCTTTGGCCCTTGAGAATATTTTCTAAGTATAGAGCAACCAGAGGCTCTGGAAGACTCTGGAAGAAAGAGAAAGAGACCAGAGGGGCTTTGGCCCTTGGTGAATATTGTGTAGTTAAACCAGAGGCTTTGGTCGCGAGACCAGAAGCTCTGGAAGAGAGGCCACATAGGGGCGCTGGTCCTCAATGAAGAGTTATATTTTTATGATTGAGCCATAAGCTCTGGCCTTCAATGTGGAATGATTCCCAAGTATGGGAAACGACCAGAGGGGCTCTGGTCCTATGTGGAAGAATTTTCTAAGTATGATTAAGAGCCAGAGGCTCTAGTCGTGAAGACCAGAAGCTCTGGAAGAGAGACCAGAAGGGCTCTGGTCCTGATGAGAAATATTTTCCAAGTATGGAATGCGTCCAGAGGGGCTCTGGTTCCAAAGGACCTAAGTGTCCAGAGGCTCTGTCTGAGCAACCAGAGGCTCTGGTCGCCCACAAAAACGTTGGTCTGACTTTGTTGACCAAGGTTGACCCTAGCTGACAAGGTTGACCGTAAGTTGACTTTTATGATAGTCATTGGAAGAAAGTAATCATTTATGTACGATTCGTTATTATGAATTATAGGTTACCAGTCAGCGCTGTTAAGTAAACTATCAACGTTATCAGGTGAGTCTTCATGAGACTTACACTGGGATGCATACCTACGTATAAACTTATTTGCAAGCATTATATGATTTATATGATGATGGTACAAACGCATGATGTTTCAAGTTACATACATGATATGTTTTACATGTATGACGTTTTTATGATYAGTTGCATGCTATGTGTTTAACCAGTTTTCGAATAACTCTAGCATGTTTTCTATATCAAAGTTTGATCAGTTTTAGTGGGTGAGCATTTGACCAAAAAGTCACATGACAAGTGGCACGACCCAGTAATGAGYGTYTAGGCAGATACRGTCGGACRACTCAGGRAATGCCAGTGACTAAAAGTCACGTGACAAGTGGCACGACCCAGTAATGAGTGTCTAGACAAGAGCAGGGCTGACGACTCAGGGAATGCCAGTGACTAAATGACTCGTACCCGGCAGTTAAATCATGAGATCTCATGTGTTCAGTATTGCATGTTTTACAGAAATTGCATGTTACAAGTTGGTTTAAAGTTCACAAGTTGAAATGTATGACGTACAATGATTTATGCACGAAAACCATGAACTCACTGAGCTTTATAAGCTGACTATAGTATGCATCTCAGGCCCAGGTAGTTCGAGGACGGATACAGGCAAGGGACAGGCATAGGGAGTTGCCTATTGTCATCTTGTTTTAGTATTTTGTCTAAAATGCACTGTAATGATCTTTTGTAACTCAACCCCAAAAGTAAGTGGGTTAGAACTTGAGTTAAGCTTGATAATTTCAAATACTTCCGCTGTAATAGTTTAGATGGTTTTAAATTAGCCATCTTTTTGGGTGCATTTATGAAGGAAAAGGATTCAGATTACGTAACATTTCTCTTGAATGAAAATGAGGGTGTTACAAGTTGGTATCAGAGCTTTAGTTTAAGGTAATTAGGCTAAAACTTGCTTAGCTTAAGCTTAAACTGGGAAGATTGTTAGAGCCTTAGTTTAAGGTGAAGAGGTCAAGATTTACTTAGCCTAGGCTTAAACTGAGAGGATAATTAGAAGCACATGTTCATTGTGTAGTAGCGTTGCTTAGCATGCAATTAAGCTTGATCCTACGTCACTACTCGACTTAGTGATCCTTTTTAAATTGTAGGGAAAAATGGTGCACACCATCCACACCAGATCGATCAGGCGCGGCCGCGGGCGCGGTTACGGAGCACGTAGAACACCGCACGGGCTAGGACCAAATAGGGGACCCATGGACAATCGCCGCCCCAACGCCAGTCATGTTTCCCGCTCAAGGACCAGAAGCGATAGTCTGGCCGACAACTGTGAGGTGTCGTCGCAAGAGCCAAGCAGGAGGAGGACCACATCCGAACCATCGATGGATTACACGCCTCGCACCCCGACGCGTGAGGACATGGTGGAAACTATAGAGGCCCTGGAGGGCGAAAACTCAAGGCTAAGAGAGAGGTTGACCCGAACCGTAGATGACAACGCTAGACTAAGTGAGTGGCTGGACAATCTTCAGCGGGCACATGTCGAACAAGGAGGAGCCCTGATCGAGTTGACTGAAGAAAATGCAAATTTGTCAGACCAGTGTTATGCCCTGATTTGGGATAAGGTGGTACTCGAGCAAGAACGAAGGATTGCCACTCGCCCCGTAGGCACCAGAATCAAGGACAAGGTTCGCTTCTATAAAAGAGTGACCATGGACTATGCGGGCGTAGTAAAGGGCTATCTCTCCAACTGGGTTCGATGCATCAGAAATGGCCCGAGGGCTAGTGTGCTGTGGCGCTCCATACCATCTACATCCTATGAGCAGTGGTTGAGGGACCCTTATCTCCCTTATTACCCAACCGATCAGTTCTAGACTTAGAGCCCTTTAGGGAAAAGAGGGAGAGAAATCTTTTGGGTATGGAATGTAATAGTGAAGGTCTAGATAGTTGACCGAACTATCAATAGAT